AAAAAAAAAAATTTTAAGTGATTTAAATCACTGATTTTTATCAAAAAAATCAAGTTCATTTAAATAAAAAAAATCAACTGATTTAAATCAACCTGATTTAAATCAACCCAACCCTGGCCTCAACGCAAGTAGGACGTACGGTCCCCAAGCGCCAAACACTATGGGGGCATACGATCCCCTAACATCAGACTTGATCAAAACATTTATATTGATCTGCAGTTAGTACATAGTGAAAAAGGGTTTTTTAAAAGTCTAACATTACAGCAGCTTCGTTCCATCAAATAAAAGCACGCAATGTTACTCATGTATCAGATATTATTAATTAAAAACATAAAACCATTTATTTATCAGCCTTTGTATTTTTGTTTTCAGTTTTAAATTAATTTGGTTTTCTTTATTGGTGAACGTGAATACAAATACAACTTTTACCAACCTTTTAGTTTTCTGTGTAGATCAGACATGCCTTTCCATCCTGGGACGATTGTTTCACATATTTCTGTCCATGCGTTGGCTTTTACGTCTCGATTATTATAGTCTACATCAGCCTTGTTGTACAAACATGGTTTACTTTCCACTGCACAAATAATGTTTTCTATCCAATTTGGATCAACATCCACTTCGATGAGAGCTCCAACATTCGACATTAGGCAGTATAGATCTAGATCTAGTTACAGTTAAGAAACAACCAAGGGACTACAGGAGAGAGAAAAATACACTACGGTAGTTAAGAATCGCGAGATGAGGAAAATGAGGTCAACACAACAGTGCAGGCCTCACGACCTTGATAGCAGTAGCAGCAGGCACCACCAACCTTGGGGCAGTTTTGTTCTATCTAATGCGGTAGGTGGCTATATTTCTCCATAAATATCATCACAGACAGCACTTTCCAGGGAATAGGACAGTCCTGTGTCACCGACTTTATTTCTTGTAGCAAATTTCACAACTGCTCGGGACTCGGGACTCAGCGAGACAAGAATGTCCTGTCTCGATCGATTGGATGGCGTGGCGGCCTACATGTCATGGCCTACTTCATAGCCTCGGTTTCAATCCAGGGACGGCGCTGTCCCGCGACGGGACTGCGCTGCGCGGTGGGATTCTGAGATGGAGATTAGATGCTATTTTTATCTTGTTCTCATTTTTAACGTGTAGAAAATGCGGTGAGGTGCTCAGCAGACTAGAAAAGGCGGGCAAATTTGGAGATGTGGTGGGGAGAGAGAGGGAGAAGGTGATAGAGAGAAAGGAGAGAGTGAAAGAGAGGGGGCGGAAAGAGACGGTGAGAGGTGGGGGGAG